TCATTTCTTTTTTCTAATAAACTATTTTTTAGAGACATGTTAGGTTCACAGAAGAACTGAACAGAAACTACAGAGTTTCCCCATATATCACGCTTGTTTTTAACCGCTTGGCTAGATGAATTGCCCAAGCAAAAGAAAGGAACAAGTATAAAGGAAAAGATGTTAAACTCCACAGCCCTTGGCAAAGATGGAACTCTATCCTAGATGACTCTGCCTTCTAACACTACCAGGGCCTGACAAGGGCAGGAGGCTAGAATTAAGAGTGAATATTGAACTTTTGTTACCTAGCAGCTTGAGAGGCATGCAAAGAAACACAGGCCCCAGAGGAGAGGGATATTAGTCCTCAGTATGTGATTCTGGCATTGACAGTCAGGTTCTTGTTACTTTTCTTATAACATTGGGTTTACTTTATGGCTCCACAAATAAGCTTAGATGAAAACATGATGAGTATTTACACAATGTCAGGTTCACTGGATGTACATACATATAAAAACATAAGCCGTAATAAACATATGAAAAGATACTCAACTACTACTAATCAGAGACATGCAAATTAAAAGAGTAAGAAATCATTTCACACCCATCAGATTGGCAAAGGTTTTCAGCCTCATAATACCAAGTGGTGAAAAGAAATCCAGAAAAAGGTCCATAAATGTAGCTGATGGGATGTCAACTAGAACTATCGCTAGTAGAGTAAAAAAATATATATGTATGCCCTCCAATCCACAGCTTCCACTTCTAGATATATACCAAGACGACCTTCGTTAGGGCTAGAGAAGTAACATAAAACATGGAAACCATCTACTGCAAATAAACAGTTTAAGTAAACAAAAAAAGATAAAAGGACAAAAAATTGGGGAAATGTCCAAATTTCTATCAACAGGAGTATGGATAAACTGAAACAGCCATAAAACAGAAACTATACAGTTAAAAAAAAAAAAACCAGAGAGCCAGCCCTGATGGCCTTAGTGGTTAAAGTTCAGCACTCTCACTGCTTGAGCAGCCCGGGGTTTTGTTCCCAGTCACGGAACCCCACCACTTGTCTGGCCATAGCCATACTGTGGTGGTGGCTCACATAGAAGAACTGGAAGGACTTACAACTAGAATATACAACTATGCACTGGGGCTTTGGGAAATGGAAAAAGAACGGGGGAAGATTAGCAACAGATGTTAGCTTAGGGTGAATCTTCCCCAGTTAAAAAAAAAACACACACAACAGAGCGACAGCCAAAACCAAAAATCATCCACCCCACCTCCACAAACACACAAAAAAACTCACCAAGTTTAACTTTCTTAAAGTTGCAAAAGGATAAAAGGAAGCATGATAACATTTATATAAAATTTAAAAACATATCAAGGCAATATGTTATTATAGATGCATACATTATAGCCAAAAGTATGGAAACATCAATGAGAATGAAATATGTTAATTTCAGGTGACTATGCTGACCTTTACCCAAGCTGTGTGCTCCTGGAAAGCAGTGATGGTTCAGAAATCTGCCCTCATCATTTCGTGTTCTGGGAAACGGGTAACAAAAGGATCCTGCCCTTGCTTATTACAAGCTAAGACCATCCCCATGCTGCCTCAAGACTCCCTGGTTGGGGCTGGCCCCGAGGCCGAGTGGTTAAGTTCCTGTGCTCAACCGCAGACGGCCCAGTGTTTCGTTGGTTTGAATCCTGGGCACGGACATGGCACTGCTCATCAAACCACGCTGAGGCAGCGTCCCACATGCCACAACTGGAAGGACCCACAATGAAGAATATACAACTATGTACCGGGGGGCTTTGGGGAGAAAAAGGAAAAAAATAAAATCTCTAAAAAAAAAAAAAAAAAAAAAAAAAAAAGAGACTCCCTGGTTTACCTGCTCCAGGTCCCCAACCTTTTTTTTCAGACATTCCTCATTAATACTACTCTCCCAACTGCAACAGCCTGAAAAAATCACCTCCTTAATTGGCCAGTACATTACTTTGACACAGCAGTGGTTATCTCTGGGGAGGGAGGGAATGGGATGAGGACGATGACGCATACTCAGCTGTAACATAAAAACCTGAAATGTGACAAAAAGTTAAACTTTTCTTTTTTCGTACAAAGGGACCTGTTATTCTGTGTACTTTTCTGCTTAGAGTGTTTCAAAATTAATTTTTAAATTATTTAAAACTTGGTGTGCAGTCAGCAAAAGTCACAAGTCGATCCTTTACGATCTGTTTTCTCCTGTTAAATAGGCACATGAACACATGCCCAACCCATTCCACTAGGCTGTTATACATTAAAGTGTTTTTGCTAATCATCAAGTGGTAGAACTCACCTGTAATTCAGCCTGAGCCAATTACCTCAGCCTGTCAGAACAGAGTTCTGATCAGGGTAAGGTTAAGGGGTAGATTATCACACAGACTTTTTGTACTTTGTTTCAGGAGCAAGACTACACTCTTACTTCTCAGAGAGCCACACAGCTATGCTGCAAATGCATATACCACTGACTAATTACAAGAGGAGCCCAGCAAGTCTACGTGTGATGTCTCAATCTATAGCCAACAGAGAGAACTACGGAGCAGATAACCGTAGGAACTTGATGGTGGGCTGGTAAATAATCTTTGTAGGAGGAAGCTGGCACACCCAGTACACACATACACCACAGTTATGTTTGGAGTGTGTAGATGTGGTTGCTGTCGAGGGTAGGCTTTTTTTTTGGCACTGTAAAGTGAGACTTTGAAAACATGAAATCTCATCTTAAAGTGCGCAGGGTGATCTTTTGAGTTGGTTTCAAATTTCTTTATTCCCAAGGCTTCTAGATGGCTTGGTGAGTACCAGCAAGTGATTTTGTTAATGTAGAACAAACCCATCAGCAGTTAAAGTTCTATCTTAAAAAAAAAAAGAAAAATACAACACACTTGGAAACCTGGAACCAAGCATCTAACCAACAGATCTAAACAGTTTCAAATACAGAGGTAAAGTGCTAAAATCTGGGATAACAAAGGAATTTTTCATCTTCACAATATTTTCTAATAGCTGGACTGAAGGAAGATGCTCTGTGCTCAAAAGGCTAAATACAAGAGTGACCTTTAAAAATGGTCAGTCTATATTCTGAACTCTTTCTTTACAAGCGTCCAAATAAGAGTAGCTTGTAAGGTCTACCTGACTTCCCTAAGACCAAAAAGTTTGAAATGTATTTGGAATCCACCCATTTTGATTTTTTTTCTCCTCCTCCCCCAAGAACCAATAAATAAAAGACTCTTTTTTCATTTTATTTGAATGCATACAAATATGGAAATTAAACTTTAAAGTTTAAACTAAGCATTTAACTAAAGTTAAAATGCTTAATCCTGGGGCTGGCCCGGTGGTGCAGCGGTTAAGTGCCCACGTTCTCCTGCGGCAGCCCAGGGTTTTCCAGTTCGGATCCTGGGTGTGGACACGGCACCGCTTGGCAAACACCATGCTGTGGTGGGCGTCCCATATATAAAGTACAGGAATATGGGCATGGATGTTAGCTCAGGGCCAGTCTGCCTCAGCAAAAAGAGGAGCATTGGCAGCAGTCAGCTCAAAAAGAAAAAAAAAAAAAAATGCTTAATCCTATTTTCAAAAGGAAAATAAAGCTTGTATTATAGCAACTCAAAAAAATAAAACATCAAATCAGAATACCCTAAAGCAGACTCCAGCCTACTTCAAAGCAACTTCATCAGAGTGGATGGTCTTAAATTCGTGAAAACCCAAAACCCGGGGATTAAAAGTCTTCTAGTATCAAGTAGTACATACATTTATAATCTTAAAACGGTTAAAAAACTCAAGATGCTGATCCTCTTTGTAACCTACAGAATTAAACCAAAGAACCAAAAACTGAACAATATCAAATCCCTACTACATACGTTCAATCATCAAGAAACTACTGGTTAATCTCTTTTTTCCCCACTCATGTGCCCGCCTGCATAGTCATACAAGTTGCAATACCTTAAAAAAAACAAAATTGTTATTCAATGAAAACATTCTGTACGCAGATGAGCTGGTACCAACTGCTTCCAGGCAGACAGATGCAACAACAGTGCAATATTTCTAGCAAAGTCTGGTAAGCCTTTGCCTGCAAGTCATTGACCAAAAATGGTAACAGCGCATGCAGACTAAAGAAAATGACAAAATGTTCTCCTTGATCGCCCGGTCAAGAACACCGTTTTACAGCAAACTACAACTACACTGCAGAGAAAAAAACAAGCAAATTAAGCAAAGTGTCCATCATCTAGAATACACCGAGCACGTTTACTCTGTAGTGACTCGGATAATTTAACGGACTTTTAGAAAAGCTTTTTCATTTCTTTTATTAGCACCCAGCATCATGCCCACACCTTGCACGCTAAGTCCTGGCAGAGCCACGATGTTTACAGGTAAAGGAAAATTCCTAACGGCACATGGAGGGAGCGGGCAGGCGAGGGTTAAGAGAGACGCAGCCGAGGCTGCCGAGCGGGCGAGCGGCGCTGGAAGCTGACTGCCAGAGACGACAAACAAAGCGGCTGCCGGGCCGCCGCGCTCGGCTCAGGCCTGGGTCAGGCTCCCGGGGCGCGTTTCGCCCTCCAGGGCTGTTCCGTAGAGGCCTCACGTTCCCTTACCGACGCGGACCGCCCTCACGGGCCCAACTCGCACGAGCCCTGCCCGCCTCCGAGCCCGGCTCGGGGAGCCCGCGCCAGCCCGACGCCCCACCCAGCCGGCGGACCCCGGGCGGCCTCACCGGGGGGTGGGGTGCCCGGCCGCCGCTGTCGCACCATGCGCGGCGGGAGCAACCGCGAGGCGACGCTCCCGGGCGGTGGCCTCACGGCAACGGCGGGCGACGCCGCGGAGCCGCCCCGGGGCGCGGGGGCCCGGCGGGGGCGAGGGCGGCGGGAGCGGAGACCCTCCCGCCGGAGACCTTCCCTCCGGAGACTGCAGCAGGCCCAGTCACTCCCCGGGCGGCGGTGCGGCGCTCGCCCCTCAGCCCCGACCCCTGGAGCCCCGCCGCCTCGGGCTCCCTCCCACTCACCATCTTCGCCGCGGCGGTAGCAGGGACCCGGGGGAGGGAGCCGGCCGGCGCCGAGTCTACAGACCGTCCACCTCACGGGAGCAGGAGCGAGCGACCGAGCGAGACGGCGACGCGGCGCGCGAGCCTATCAGGGGGCGGGCGCCTGGGTGCGCGCCTCGGGCCCAACCGCGGCTGCGCACGTCACGCGCTGCCCGCCGTTGCTACGCAACCGGCCGGCCTGGCAACGCCCCGCCCAGGCGGCCGCGCGGACTCCCGGAGGGTGGGAGTGTTCGTCACCTTCTAGAGACTGGGGGACCCAGTCCCCCGTCACCAGTTCGGGTTTATGGAGATTGGAGTGGTCCCTCTGTCATCTGCTAGGGACGAGGAGGGGAGCTTGCGCGGGCACCTGCCGGCTAAGGGCGAGCAAAGGACGATGCGGGGAGGGCGAGCCCCCCATGGGGCGGGGCCACGTGGCTCCCCGCCCAGGCGCCGCTGTGGCCGCTGCAGGGAAGTAGCCACCTGGCCAGGTGTGCGCCGCCTCTGGGGGCGGGGCCTGAGAGGGGGCGGGAGAGGGTGGGCGGGGCCTCGGAGGAAGAGACTTGGGGGAGGACCCACGGGAGCCCCGGCGCGGGCCCCAGCAGAGGGGACGTATCCCGCATTTTTTACCTACTTTGGTCCGATTCCCGCCATCCTCCCCTGATTGGCCCAGCCCAGCACGTCGGGCCCTCGCGTGAGGGGAAAAATCTGCACATTTTTCCTCCTTCCCGAGGCGACTGTGGCCGTTCAGAGTGCTCTGTGAGTCACCGCTAATTTCAGGTCTGGAAAAAACAAGGAGTGATTTATTTATCTTTGGGAACAGCCCAGGGAAGGAGGCCCGGCAGTCCGCAGGGGTGTGGCTGGGAAACAGCAGAGTTGTCTTGGGATGATGGCGCCAGACCCCCTGCCCCGATTTTGGGGTTTTTGATTTGGGATTGTGTTTTTTTTTAATGGGCGGTTGCATCAGAAACACAGTTTTCAGAGAGCCAGAAGGAATCCCAACGTTTTTCCTGAGGGTGTTTTTGTGGTGAATAAAGGGAACAAAGAATTTCCAACTGGGATGATTACTTTAAGTTTTACTTAATTTAGGTTACTGAGAACATCACGGCCTCTACCAAAACTATTTTAATTCTCCAAATGGGAGGTCTTTGGACAAGATGGTCAGTACGTTTTTGTTTTTTCTGGGCACTATATAAAATCTAGGTTGTACATGGCTTTTTTCTGCCCACCCAACATAGAAACTCCTTTCTCGTTACTCTCGTCCTGTTTTTTTGTTTTGTTTTCTTTTTAAGAAAGGAAGCAAGTTATGGCAGTGCTACTAAGCCCTTACCACCTGCTAGAAGATTTTTGAGAGGCTAGAGCAGTGGTTCTCTGCTTTAAAGAGAACTTGTTCAAAGTCATATTTGTGTGCCCCACCCCGAGAGTTTTGGACACCAGTATATCTGGGATGAGACCTGATAATTTGCATTTCTAACAATTCCTGGGTGATGCTAATGCAGTTGGTTAGGTACCACAGTTTGAGAACAAAGAACCCACCTGTGCCCAGCTGCAGCTCCCACCCTTTATTTCTCTGTCTGCCTGGGACTGAATGCCGGCCCCCCCCGCCCACCCCCTTAATCCTCAAGACTTCCTTTCCAGTCCAAAATTGAATCGTGCTCTTTTAAGGACAGATGTCCGCCTGCTCCAGCCTCTCTTCTGCATTTCATCCTCCACTCCGCCACCAGAGTTATGTCCAAACCTAAGAATCTGATCCTGTCACTTTCCTACTTAGAATTTTCTACTGCTTCCTCCAGAATGCTCAGCTGCTCAGTCTGGCTTTTCACCTCTGTCCTCAGCCTGCTTTTCCTGCCTTATCTCCCAAAGTGGTCGATTTGCTTCCAGACTAAACTTCTCGTCCAAGAACTCTTCTTGCTCTTTCTAACTGCCATAATCATGGGCCTGCTCCTTTCTGGCCTGCACCCTTCCAGTCTGAAGGCCTCTGGCCACTTCCAAGGGGATCAATAGTGTTCTTTCTATAATTCCACGGTTCATCATTTCTCAAATCTTGATAATCATCCAGATCACCTGAGGATCTTGTTAAAACGCAGATTCTGGGTTTTAGGGGTGGGGTCTCGGATGCCCCCGTAAATTTGGATGCTGCCCGTCCTCAACTTTGAGTCGTGAGATCTTACAGGTTTTTCCCTTGTAATTGCTTGTCTTATATACACAAATATTACCACTACTGCCAGATTAGACTGCGTTCCTTGAGGACAAGTTGTGTTTAGGATGCATCTTATATATGGACTAGCATAGTCCCTGATATACAGTAGGTGTTTAATACATGTTCAGTCAGTAAACCAGTATCTGAAGAGGTTTTGCAATTCATCAGGCAAACTTCTGTATCAGTTCATTGTAAGCTAATATGAGCCCCCATTTTTCTTGAGGTCCCATTGAACTTTAACCTTTCCATTTACACATAAGTTTCCTAGATATTTTCATTCTTCCTCATCCCACAGAAGGATAAGGCTTTAACATAAGGTCTCTCCTTCAGTATGAGATGGGTGTATTCCATTTCTCATTTAGAAAACATATTTAACAATATGTTGTTGCATACTTAACAATCTGTGAACATATAGGAACTTTCATTTAAAACCATTAATGTGAGTGGCAGGGAAGAATAAATTATACATTAAGGAGAAGCTTGAAAAGACATGTCTGTTAATCGATAGCCTGGAAAAAGCTTTTTTGCAAGACAATATAACCCTGTCAGTATATAGTGTAGAATAAACTATTTTTAGTTTCTCACCTGCCTCCCCACAAAATCATCCGTTCCCTATCTCCTACCCTTGTTTGTGTCTGTAGTCTTTTTAAAAAATAATTTTAATCATACGAGCAAGACATGAATATATTTTCATTATAAAAGATTCGAACAATACAGTAAAGGAAAGCCTTTGTGCACCCCTACTCTCCATTCCTATAGTTTCAGTCCCCTGCTCAGAGGTGACCACTGCTATCACTGCAGTCTACTTTACAGAGGAATAAACCTTGTGCGCGTGTGTTGTGTAATGGTTGTATGCTGGGTGTGTGGTGTCCTATAGCTTGCTTTAAGATGTTCTTGATTTTCTGCCTGCCGAATCTGTCCATTGCTGAGAGAGGGGTGTTAAAGTCTCCCACCAGGACAGTGGATTTCTCTCTTTCTCCTTTCACCTCTATCAGCTTTTACCTCACGTAGTTAGACACTGTGTTATTAGGTGCATACAAGTCAAGAATTGTTATGTCTTGGAGAATTGATCCCTTTATCATTGTATAATACCCTTCTTCATCTCTGATAACTTTCCTTGCTCTGAAGTCTACTCCATCTGAAGTTAATATAGCTACTCACACTTTCTTTTGCTTGGTGTTAACATGGTATATCTTTCTCCATCCCTTTACTTTTAATCTATATGTGTCTTTATATTTAAAATGGGTTTCTTATAGACAACATATAGTTGGATCATGTTTTTTGATTCACTCTGAAAATCTGTCTTTTAATTGGTGTATTTAAGCCATGACATTCAAAATTATTATTGGTATAATTGGATTATTAACTACAATGTTAGTTACTGTTTTTTAATTTGTTGCCATTTTCTTTATTCCTATTTTAGTCTTCCACTCTCTTTCTGCCTTTTTTTGGCTTTAATTGAGCATTTTATATGATTCCATTTTTTCACCTTTCTTAACATATGTTATGCTTCTTACTTTTTTTAGTGGTTGCCCTACAGTTTGCAGTATATCTTAACAACTAATCCAAGGCCACTTTCAGATAACACTATCCCACTTCACAAGTAGTGTGAATATTTTATAATAACAAAATAGTCCTAGTTCCCTCCTCCTGTCCCTTGTGTTATTGCTATCATTCATTTCACTTATGTATAAGCATACATAAGCATATATATACACACACACAAGATATATAAAGATAAGCATATAAAATTAAGTACCTTGTTGCTATTATTATTTTGAATAAACTATCCATTAGATCAACTACGAATAAGATAAATAAAAGATTTTATTTTACCTTTACTTACTTTTCTTCAGTGTTCTTCCTTTCATTACGTAGATCCATAGATCCGACTTCTGACGTATATTATTTTCCTTCTCTCTAAAGAAGTTCTTGTAACATTTCTTGCAAGACAGGTCTACTGGCAACCAGTTCTCTCAACTGTTGTTTGAGAAAGTCCTTATTTCTCCTTCACTTTTGAAGGATAATTTTGCATAATTTGCATAATGGGTTGGTGGATATTTTTTCTCTCAACACTTTAAATATTTCACTCCGCTCTCTTGCTTGCATGGTTCTGAGGAAAAGTCAGATATAATTCTTATCTATGTTCTTCCACAGGTAAGGTGTTTTTTTCCTCTTGCTGCTTTCAGGAATTTTTTCTTTGCTTTTCTGTAATTCGAAAATGATATGCCTAAGTGTAGTTTTTTGGGATTTTGTTTGTTTGGTTGGTTTTTTTGGCATTCATCCTGCTTCGTGTTCTCTGATCTTCCTGGATCTGTGGTTTGGTACCTCACATTAATTTGGGGAAATTCTCAGTCACTATTGTTTCAAATATTTTTTCTGTTCCTTTCTCTTTTTTTTCCCTTCTGGTCTTCCCATTATGCATGTATTACACTTTTTGTAGTCCCTGAATATTCTGTTCTGTTTTTTTCAGCCTTCATTCTCTTTGCTTTTTGGCTTCAAGGATTCTATTGATATATCCTTTAAGGTAAAGATTCTTTCCTCAGCTGTGTCCAATTTATTAATAAGCCCATCAAAGGAATTCTTCATTTCTGTGATTTTTGCCTTTTAGTATGCCTTGTAAGTTTTTCTTGATAGCTGGCCGTGATGGACTCTGTATAAGGAACTGTGGTAAACAGGCCTTTAGTAATGTGGTGGTGAGGTGTGGGGATAGGGAAGGGTTCTATACAGGTGTACTTCGTTTTATGGTGCTTCACTTTATTGTGCTTCACAGATAATTGCATTCTTTACAAGACCTTCCACCACCAAAAAAGATTACAACTTGCTGAAGGCTCAGATGATAGTTAGCATTTTTTAGCAATAAAGTATTTTTAAATTAAGGTATGTACATTGTTTTCTTAGACGTAATGCTATTGCACACTTAATGGACTACAGT